TTCGAGTGATTCTCCTGCCTCAGGCTCTCGAGTAGCTGGAATTACAGGCACCCGCCACCACACCCAGCTAAGTTTTGTATTTTTAATAGAGACAGGCTTTCACCATGTTGGCCAGGCTGGTCATGAACTCCTGAGCTCAAGCCATCTGTCTGCCTTGGCCTGCCAAAGTGCTGGGATTACAGGCATGGGCCACCGCACCCAGCCTTGGGCTTTTCATATTAGACCAAGCTCAGGTAAGATTCTATCCCTGCCCTTCTGAGTGTCTTGTTCTGTGGAAATCTCTTACCAGGCACCACTTTTTGAAGAGCAGCTTTCTGCTCCCAAGAACACAAAGGGGGTATTTTCACCACCCAGGACAGTAGGGACATGGTCAAAACTTAACTATTGAGGCTGCCGCATTGGCTGGAATATGCCAGCTGGATTCCACAGAGGCCCCAGACTGAGGCACTACCTATCAAGTGGCTGTAGCTCCTGCTTGGAATTATAGAAATCCCATGCTGACATCAGAGGTGCACAGAGGATGAGGACCAATAGTTCTCTCTAAAAGGGTAAAGCCATAGCTCTCCAGAAATCCTTTGGAACCAGAAAGACAAAACAGTTACATCTGTTGAATAGGTGAAATGGGCTGATTCATCAACTCCATCAAGAGTTAAGTCCACATGTGGACTTAACACAGGTTTCTTTGGCGGGACAGACCACATCTTAAGCACCAGCACCAGGACAAAGTATCAGTGCAACCAGAGGCAGAAAGTTGGGCTGGGGAGACCAAGGCAGGGTCAAAAAAAAGAAGCTAGAAGAACTTTGCAACAAAAGCACTTTCTAACAAGCATTAGAAGGCTGTGTTGTGGATGTGCTTCCCATTACTCTAGCAACTCAGGTGACTGGCCATCTGTTGTTGGCACTGCTTTGCAAGGGATTCATGCAGGAGATAGGAAAGCTGTCTAAATGTAGTAGCTTTTTGGGTTCTTTGAGACACAAGCCTAGGGGAACAGACCACCAACCTCCCTGACCCCTACTCTTCTGCCAACGCTTAGAAGTCCATCTCACCTTCCTCATCAGCTGAGTGGCAGTACTTTGAAATGATTAGAACACAGGCTTGGGGTCAAACCCATCTGAGTTCAAATCCCAACTTCACTACTTGTTAGCTGTGTAGCTCAGGATGAACTGGCTTAACACAAGGCAGGGGCAGGACCAGCAAGACCCCAGCGGTGCCTCCTACACCACAGCTCACCACATTATCTGCTCTCAGTTTAAAGACAGATGCTTGTCAGCTATCAGCTCAGTGGACCCAAGTATTTCCCATTTTTACAATCCCGTGTTTTTTCTTTTTCCCTTTAAGGTGAGGGCACCAGCTGGGAAAGGCATTCCCACACAACAGCCAAGAGAATACTCAACTGTCATTACTCTCAAGGCATTCCATGGTCCATGGAGGCTGGTCCACTTGACAAAGCTTCCAAGGTCTTGCAGCGTCGAGTTTCTTTGACCAGCTGAGTTTCTGTACGGGAGTTTCCCCACCATCCAAGGCTTCCGTAAAGCTGCTAGCCCAGTTGCTCTCCTGAGCTGGTTCCTCTACCATCTTACAGCCCCTCTACCATCTCAGTATCCAGATTGCACAACCTGGTGAAACACTTCTTGGACTCTTCCCTCCAAAAAGAAAAAAAAGAGCTTGTATATACTTTTGTATGGAACATAGCACAGATCACGAAAACAAAAACTGTTGGCTCAGAAACTCACTAGGGAAGCAAGGGAGGGACAGAGTGTCCAGGACCACCTATATGGGCTAAGGAGTCTGAAGAACAGGGAGCTCTGAAAGTGGTGCTGGAGCAGAGGAATGCAACAAAATATGGATCTGGAGTTAGTATGGTAGCTGAGAACAGGATTTACAGCTTAGTGGGAGGCCACAGAGATCAGTGAAGAGACTGCTGCAAAAGTCCTTAGAGCCCAACTAGGATTGGTGACTGAAGGAGAGCAGAAAGATGCTTAAAAAATAAAAATAAAAAATTTTAAAATTAAAAAAAAAAAAAAAATGACTCTTAAGGGCTACTGGGAATGGGGGGTAGGGGAAAATATTTTTGAAATGAGAAAAGAGGAGAATAAACAGTCACACATTAAGTTGACCTTGAAATAATGATTCACTGTCCAAGCAATGCTTACAGATCTCTGGAGCCAAGGGAAAGCCATCAGTAGTGGGAGGGCCCTGGGTTTTCACCACAGAGGATGCCCAGGGGGCATCTTGGATCAGCACTCCATGGTTGGTCCTTATGCTCAAACTTAATCTCCAGTTCTGGTAAAACTATTAATGCTTTACTTAGTAAAATCAAGTCAACAGTGTAGGAGGAAAGGCTTTAAAGTAGTTTACAAACAAAAATGACTAATTCACATTGATAACCACTCAGTTACTAATTCAGGTAACTTAACCATATATCTTCAGTTTAAAGACAAAATGAACTACAAAGAAGTCTTGAACTTTAGAAGGTTTATTGTTGATAGAGCTGTAGTGATTCTGAAACTTGTATTTATGGTAGCACTGAGCAAATGAGTGAAATATATTGAGAATAATGGGAGCCAGGGTTATTACTGCTGTGGTGAGAGAGACAATACAGAATGGAGGAAGGCAAAGAAGCACCCATGGTGTTGGATTAGAAGTTTCAGTATGAACTCATGATTTAAAAGTACGACAAATATGTATTCATATATACGTGTCGCACATATATATACACACTTATTTGCATAAATTTTCCTAGTTCTGTCTGCTGAAATGCCTCAAAGCAATGATACTCCAGTATCAATGTGAACACTTAGTGACAATTTTAGCTTCTAAATGACATACCTACTAAAAGAAACTAAGAAACTACTACTATATACTACTACATACCTATTAAAGAAACTCCTTGGAGAAATTGCTGATTCCCAGGTTGGGCAAGGAAAATATAAGATAAGCCTAGAGCATCATCTTGTCAGAAAATAAGGAAATACTAAAAAAATCAGTGGGATATATTAAAAGGACCTGGGGAGCCAGGTTGAAGGAGCTCCCACTAACCAAATCGGGTCATTTTAAGCATCAAAATGAGTAACATTAAATATTTTTTAAAAATCAAGTCCAGGCAAGCCATGCCAACAAGTCCAAGTGGCTCACGCCTGTAATCCCAGCACTTTGGGAGGCTGAGGTGGTCAGATCACGAAATCAAGAGATCGAGACCATCCTGGCCAACATGGTGAAATCTCGTCTCTATTAAAAATACAAAAATTAGCTGGGCATGGTGGCGCACGCCCGTAGGCCCAGCTACTCGGGAGGCTGAGGCAGAAGAATCACTTGAACCTGGGAGGCAGAGGTTGCAGTGAGTTGAGATTGCGCCACTGCACTCCAGCCTGGCAACAGAGCGAGACCCTGTCTCAAAAAAAAAAAAAAAAAAAAAAAAATCAAGTCCAAAATGATACTAAGAAAACAAAAACAGGAGAAAAGAAAGCTCTTCCTTACCTAGAGTTCCAACTAATAAATATAGATATAAGAGTTAGAAACAACATTTTGTAATCAATGCAGAATCATTGATTGAGGCAAGAATCATCAATGAATACTAAAATTATTGGTGAAAGTTTGTTTAATTCTTTGAGACAGAATCTAGCTTTGTCACCCAGGCTGGAGTGCAGTGGGGTGATCTCGGCTCACTGCAACCTCCGCCTCCCAGGTTCAAGCGATTCTCCTGCCTCAGCCTTCTGAGTAGCTGGGCGCATACCTCCACACCTGGCTAATTTTTGTATTTTTAGTAGAGAGAGGGTTTCACCATGTTGGCCAGGATGGTCTCGAACTCCTGACCTAAGGTGATCTGCCCGCTTCGGCCTCCCAAAGTGCTGGGATTGAACCACCGCACCTGGCCCAGGTGAAAGTTTATTGACAGACAAGATTAAATAATGCCCCACAAATTAGTTATCAGTTACAAAGAGAAAATGGTAACTACCGTGGAAAAACCTTTGCAGCCATGACCTTAACCATGTGATCAGAATCAGTTACCAACAGCAGGAAAAACTGACATCATGTGCTTACTAATGTGATGCACTGAAAGGAATATGTGTTAGTCTTATCTGAATCTAAACCTCAGGAAACAGACACCGCAAACTGAAGGACACCCTACCAAATAACCAGCAAGTAAGCTTTCCTCAAAAATGTCAACGTCATGAACGACAGACTATGTAAGACAAAGGACCTTGTTCCTAGGAGATACACACAAGTTTTTGGGAACACAGGGTCACGAATCTACAACTGACTTTCAAAGGGGTCAATTAAATAATTATATTGTATATGTTATACAATTATATAATTATATAATGTATAAATACATAATGTAAATTATGTTAGATATAATTATATATCAATATAATTATATTGATATAATTAGACATATCTTATATGCATATTATGTATTATTAGATATATCTAAGTGTGGAAGAAATAAAGCAAATGTAGAAAATGTTACCAACTGAAGAATCTAGGTAAAGTGGATACAATACAATTCTTGCAACATTTCTATAGGCTTGAAAATTTTCACAATTAAAAAGTGTTTAAAAATTTTAAGAACACATTTCTGGAAATAACCTGAGTCAACACAGGGTGCTATGTCTTATTGAGCATCTGTACTGCTAAACACATATTCCACAATTGCAAACATCACATTTAATCCTCAATTCATGGGGGAATTAGGAGATAGAAAGGGCATATTATATTATCCCTATTTTAAAAATAAGGAAACTGAAGCCTAAGAAATACTGTGCCTTAAAAGCTTATTATATATCTCACCTATGGATAAAAAACTAATTCCTAAGAGAAAAAGAACAATACCCAGAGATGTGAAATAAAAATTAGCTCTAGGTGGTAACACTGTGTACTATTTTTCTTTCTAGTTCTATTGATTTTTCAGATTTCCACCATAAAAAATTGAATTTATGCTCAAAAAATACAACTTAACATTTTTAATAAAGTAAATAATTTCATAGTAAGGCACAAAAGAGATCTTTCTAGAATTTAATAAACTTTGTTATTCTAAGTTATCCAAGTATTTGAATTCCCATGTTTCATGATTTCAAAAGGCAGGAATGGGATGTGATTGGGCAGACAATAATTCAGTTCTTGGTTTCTTTTCCTTTGAATTGTTTACAATGGAATATTTGCATGTTTTCTCCAAGGACGTTGTACCTTCTTGCTGGCCAACACATCCAGGTCACAGCAGATTCGGGCACGTGTGGAAGAAGGTTGGATGATGTCATCCACAAACCCTGGTGAAGCACAGAAAAGGGAGTGGATCATCTGTATCCCCAGATGATGCCACCCTTCAACCTTCTGCTCAGCCTGGGCATCATCCCTGGGGCCAGCAGTACAAGCAGCGTCCAACCTGATACAGAGAGGGTAAGCCCTGCGAATCCTCCCTTGTATCCCAAGAGCTGGCCTGTTCTGACAGCTCCCCACCTGGCCTAGGAGCACTTGGCAAGAAAAGGAAAATTTGACACCCTCCCTATACCCTGCTTGCTCCAATGCCTCCATCCTGCCACAATGAATTCAATACGAAATAAAGAAAATACATCTAGATTTTCAAAAATGGCTACAACAATTCCTCCATCCTTGTACACAAGTCCTGCAATGTGACTTTACCACTTCTGTCATCAAGAGGTGGATTTGTATTCCTTCACGTAACCTTGTGAGTTTCTTTGGCCTAAAAAATGTGGCAAAAATGACACTGTGCAACTTCCAAATCTAGGCCTCAGTTTCCCTTTGCCCCCTTGCTACTCTCGGGACACCATGAGGGTAAGGAAGCCTGGACTAGCCTCCTCAAGGGTGAGAGGCCATGTGGGGAGTGAGTCTAGCTAACAGCAACTGCCAAGTAAGTGACGCCATTTTAGACTGTCAAGCCCCAGTCAAGCCACAGAATGACTATACCTGTGTGGGGGACCCCAGGCAAGACCAGCACAAGAACCCCTCAGTTGGGTCCAGATCCAATTGTGGACCTCACAGAACCATAAGCAGGTGGGGGAAATGGTGGTTGGTTTAAGCAGCTGAGTTATAGCGTGAATTTCTGCACGGCACTAGACAACTGAAACAACACCTAGAAATTTAACACACTTCGGCAACGTTGTTTTAATCGTGGTACCAAAGCAATCTGTTCTGCTGTCCTTAGTCCTAAGTGATGACTTGCCCAGGGACAGTCTCAACTCTCACTAGTCAACAGATTAGACTGCAAAGGCAAAAAGGCAGTTATGTGACAATTTCTGTAGAGAAAGAGTGAGCAAGTGACCGAACAAAGCTGCCCTCTTCACCACAGTCCCCTACCTCTCACTGCCGCAGGGAAAGGGTTGGCAAACTTCTCGATGTACTCTGCCTGAGCAGCTTCCACATTCTCATGCCCTTTGAAGATGATCTCCACAGCACCCTGTGATTAGAGGAGTTCGTGAACGTCTTTGGTCGTCCCAACCTGGACAGATCTCCTTCAACTCATTATCACTGTGTGTGGTTGCAAATTTCTTGGTAAATCAGTGTACTGGGGGGAAGTGCCATCTCTAAAGGCCACAACATAGAGGGAGGCACTGCCTGGGGCTGACCATCATGACACAGGGGGCTGCATGACGGGATGGGATGCTTCCCTGTGGCCCCAATGAGGGGTAGTCAGGCAAAAGTCAGTAGCTTCTCTCCCCAGAGCCCATTCTACCATCTCCATCTGCACTCATCATACTTCTTTGAGCCAAAGATGTTAGCCCTGTTTTCCATTATTAAACCCACAGTCTTGTATCGAGGGGAATTAAAAGCAGTACTTCCCTTTTTCAGTATCCTGAGACCTGAGTATACAATTCGGTGGCCAGAGGTGGCCAGATAGAACTGGAAATTAGAAGGACTGGCCTTCAAGTCAGAGCAACCATAAGTCCTCTAGACTTACAGAGCACCTATAACTCTAGGGGGACCTGCAAGTTATCTGATTCAACCACAATAGCTACTTCAAAGCAGGGAAGGAGCGAGGAATAGGTCAAGCAACAGGAAGTACCTTGTCCGACGTCAATGGGGTCAGACCTACAGTTTAGCTTCTTATGACCTTAAAAGAGTAGCTCTGGGGCCCTCCCTGGAAGCTGAGGTGGAGTTGGGAGAATGTCCAATCCTTCTGAAGGTGACTTCAGTTGACTCAACCCTTTGCCCCCTTTATTTACAATCTTGAAACCCACTCTGGACTCCTCTCACTTTCCTTTCACCTGCCCCACCCACCTTGGCATGAAGACACCAGTGTGGGCCTGAAGAAAGGATATAGGACAGGAGGCAGAGATGTCTCTGGAGCCCCAGGAGGAGACTTGCCAAGGTCTAGGTCTCACTCGCCTCAGTCCTGGCTCACCCTAGGGGCCCTGGCCTCTCTCCAACACTTTCCAGCTATGCCTTGAGCTCTGGCTGGTAGAGTCGAGTCCTTGTACCCAGAAAGGGAAAAGCTAGAGGCCCTCACCTTTGCTCCCATGACTGCAATCTCTGCGGTGGGCCAGGCATAGTTGGTATCACCACAAAGGTGCTTAGAGCTCATGACATCATAGGCACCTCCATAGGCCTAAAACAGATCCAAATGCTGAATGTTAGAGCCTGAGACACCCAGCTCATGTCCCTGAAAGACCCCAGGAAACCAGATAAAATGGGGACAAAGAACAAGAGTAGCCCCCTGGTCTCCTGAAGGCCCATGGTCTGTAAGACCTTTCAAAGTTAATGCTCATTATCTTTTCTGGCTTTTTCCCACTGCTGCTTTCAGTTCCCTTGTGTTAAAAAACCACAGACATGGCCGGGCGCGGTGGCTCACGCCTGTAATCCCAGCACTTTGGGAGGCTGAGGCGGGTGGATCACGAGGTCAGGAGATCAAGACCATCCCGGCTAACACGGTGAAACCCCGTCTCTACTAAAAATACAAAAAAATTAGCCAGGCGTGGTGGCAGGCGCCTGTAGTCCCAGCCACTCAGGAGACTGAGGCAGGAGAATGGCGTGAACCCGGGAGGCGGAGCTTGCAGTGGGCCGAGATCGCACCACTGGACTCCATCTCAAAAAAAAAAACAAAAAAACAAAACCCAAAGACATTTCTGTGGGGCTGGGAACAACGTCCTCAAGACATCTTTTTAAGGATGAGCAAGGTATACTCCTTCCAGCCCTGGTAAAACTCTGCCAGACTCCCACCATGGCTATGCTGTAGGAAAGTGAGCAGGGTCATGGCCTCCAACATGAGGTCCTCACCTTCCTCGTGATGACCGTGACTTTGGGTACAGTTGCCTCAGCAAATGCGTAGAGAAGCTTGGCACCATGCCGGATGATGCCCCCGTATTCCTGTGCTGTGCCTAGACATGAGGAAGAGTTACTAGATACCCACAAGTCCTCACATGGTTATCCTGCCACTCTCAGCTGTGAGGTCTTTCCCACCTCTGGAGAGGGCCATTCCTTACACAGTCCTATCTTCTGGACACCCAGAATATATGGAGAAGTCACAAGTCCTCAGGAAGTTCTGCAAGATCTCCAAATAACGTGGGCACCTCACTGGGAAAGGCAACTCTCCTAGCCCCCACTCTGTCAATAACTTACCAGGTAGAAAGCCAGGGACATCAACAAAAGTGATGAGTGGAATATTGAATGCATCACAGAATCTGACAAAACGAGCCCCTTTCACAGATGAATTAATATCCAAGCATCCTAGAAAGAGAGAGATTATCCATACTGAGTATCTAGGCAATTCCCAGTTCTATCCACAATGGGAATTTGTCCTCAGCAGCCATCCAGAGCTGGTTTGTGTGGAGGCACCAACGTTTCTTCATTGCAGAATGATAACAGGGATCCCTCAAACTCCAGGAAACAGGGAAGATGAAGAATCCACCTGTCTGTCACTGGCCAGAGAGGCCCAGGACTAGACTCAACTGTAGACAGACCGAAGGGCTGCCGCCAGCTGAGACACAGCTGGCCTTGCCGCAGAGAGCCATCAGTGGGAGGCAGCATTCAGGGGCTGGTCTTAGAGAGTCCTCAGAGCTTCCAATCAGATTCTGGCTCCACTGGTGATGGCGATGTGCCCTTGAGAAATTACTTTGCCTTTAGACCTAAGGTTCCGCTAGCATAATTCTAAGGAGTAAAGGAAATGGAATCTGTAAAGCAGCACAGAGAGGACCTCAATTACTAGTAAATCTCCCCTCCTAGAAGAGTTTCCAACTTAACTCTATGTGACCAGTATTACCCTGATACCAAAGCAAGACAAGGACATCATCAGAAAAGAATACAGACCAAAAACAAAAATGAAAAAGTTTTACTTTTTAAGTAAGGCATATTATCAAGTCCAGCAATATATATAAAAACAATAATACATCATGTCCGAGTGGGGTTTATCCCAAGAATTCAAGGTTGATTTCAGCATGTGAAAACCAATGAAATTATTAAAGGAAAAAACTATATGAACATCTCAACAGACGTAGAGAAAACACCTGAAAAAATCTAAAATCCATTCATGAATAAAAATGTGGCCTGGCACAGTGGCTCACACCTGTAATCCCAGCACTTTGGGAGGTTGGGCAGGCGGACCACTTGAGGTCAAGAGTTCAAGACCGGCCTGGCCAACATGGTGAAACCTCATCTCTACTAAAAAATACAAAAATTAGCCAGGCGTGGTGGCAGGCGCCTGTACTCCCAGCTACTCGGAAGGCTTGCGGCAGGAGAATCACTTGAACCCAGGAGGCGGAAGTTGCAGTGAGCCAAGATTGCACCACTGCTCTAGGCAACAGAGTGAGACTCCATCTCAAAAAAAAAAAAAAAAAGAGAGAGAGAGAGAGAGAGAGAGAGAGAGGCTGGGTGTGCTGGCTCATGCCTGTAATCCCAGCACTTTGGGATGCCAAGGTAGGTGGAGCACCTGAGGTCAGGAGTTCAAGACCAGCCTGACCAACATGGAGAAAATACGTCTCTACTAAAAAACATGTCTCTACTAAAAATACAGAATTAGCTGGTCATGGTGGCGTGCGCCTGTAATCCCAGCTACTCAGGAGGCTGAGGCAGGAGAATCACTGGAATCCGGAAGATGGAGGTTGTGGTGAGCCAAGATCACATCATTGCACTCCAGCGTGGGCAACAAGAGTGAAACTCTGTCTCAAAAAAAAAAAAAAAAAAAAAAAACAAAGGAGAAAGGAGAGGAAAAGGGAAAGGAAATAAATAGGCAAGTCACAAGTCACAAGCCAGGCCCTACAAATCAATAAAAAGACAGACAATGTAGTCCCAGGTACTCAGGAGGCCAAAGTGGGAGGATTGCTTAAGCCCAGGAGTTTGAGACCAGCCTGGACAACATAGTGACACTCTGTCTCTAAAAGGGAAAAAAAAGTGGCCAAACGTGGTGGCTCACGCCTGTAATCCCATCAATTTGGGGGGCCAAGGCGGGCGGATCACCTGAGGTCAGGAGTTCAAGACCAGTCTGGCCAACATGGCAAAACCCTGTCTCTACTAAAAATACAAAAATTATCCGAGAGTGGTGCACACCTGTAATCCCATCTACTCAGTGGCTGAGGCAGGAGAATTGCTTGAATCTGGGACAAGGAGGTTGCAGTGAGCCAAGATCGTGCCACTGCACTCCAGCCTGGGTGACAGAGTAAGACTCTGTCTCCAAAAAATAAAATAAAATAAAATGGTATGAAAGCTTTGTAGCTTTTTAATTATACTTGTCCCATTCCCTCCCAGGTTGTGGAGGAAGCAGAGCAGACCTCATTCACAAATTTCTGCATAAGTCTGCTCTAACCTGTCTGTGGGCTGCCTGAAGGACTGACACAAGGAACACATCTCTGTTCCACCTAACTCAGAACTTGTACAGGCTAGAAATGTAGCAGGCATTTCTCAAAATCATGGTAAGGCAGAGGAACAACCTGCAGATGTCTGGCCAAAAGATTATTGTTGAAACCACCTAAGACATGGGAGAGAAAAAAAAAAAAAACAAGGAGAGAGTGTCTTTAGGAAATTAGTGCATTCAAAAGCACCCTTGAATAGGGGGAATTCAGAAAGACACATGTATGCCTAGGACAAGACACACGATCAGAAAAGATCTGAGAGGGGAAATTAGAAAATAAGTTGAATGAAAATGAAAACACTATTACAAAACAAAAGACCTGGGAAAACTTTAAACTCCCCAACACAGAGTCAATTTCAAGACCAGGAGTTTTCTTGTTTGTTGTTTCTTGGTTTTAGTTCCTGGTGTTTAAGAAAATTTCTGTCAAATACACAAATTAAGAAACAGGCTGGGCATGGTGGCTCACGCCTGTAATCCTAACACTGTGGGAGGCCACTTTGGGAGAATCTCTTAAGGCCAGGAGTTCCAGACCAGCCTAGGCAACAGAGCAAGACCCTGTCTCAAAAGAAAGAAAGAAACAAGAAAAGAAACAGGGACTTCAGTGACCACAAATGACAAGAAATATACAGTCTCTGGAAAAGTAATTGCAAAAAGACACTAGACAAACATATATGACATTCAGTATCAAAAAAAAAAACAACAAAGCTTGGGAAAAGAAGAAAATGTGACTGCCAGCGTGACCACATTATAATGTACAAATACCCCGTTTTCAATTAAAAAAATTACAAGGTGTAAAATTAAGAAACTGTCCCTAAGTAAGCATAGACACTGAACTTACTAGACAAAGACTATAAAACACTACTAGTGGGGTTTTTTTGTTTTGTTTTTGAGACAGAGTTTTGCTTCTTGTCACCCAGGCTGGACTGCAATGGCGCCATCTCAGCTCACTGCAATCTCTGCCTCCTAGGTTCATGTGATTCTCCTGCCTTGGCCTCGTAAGTAGCTGGGACTACAGGCGCCCGCTGCCATGCCTGGCTCATTTTTGTATTTTTAGTAGAGATGGGGTTTCACCACATTGGCTAGGTTGGTCTCAAACTCCTGATCTCAGGCGATCTGCCCACCTTGGCCTCCCAAAGTGCTGGGATTACAGGCAGGAGCCACCACATCTGGCCTAAAACACTACTACTCTTAAATATATTCAAAGAGGTAAAGGAAAACCTGGACAAAGAACTAAAGGAAATCAGGAAAATAATGAAAAATTCTGGAGCTGAAAAGTATAATAAATGAAATGAAAAATTCATTACAAGGGTTCAATAGGAGATTTGAGCAGGCAGAAGAAAGATCAGAGAATATGAAGATAAAACAATTGAAATTACTCTGAGGAGAAAATAAAAAAACTAAGTGAGCAGAACCTAAGGGACCTGTGGGACACTAACATGTGAACCAATACACACAGGATGAGAGCACCAGGAGGAGAAGACTGAGAGAAAGTGGCAAGGAGATAATTTGATGAAACAATGTCCGAAAACTTCCCAAGTTTGATGCAAGATGTGAAACTAGAAATATAAGAAACTCAACTAACTATAAGAATACATTCAGAGACCCACACTGAGACATATTACAGTCAAATTACTGAAAGACAAAAGAGAATCTTAAAAGCAGCAAAAAAGAAATCACTCATTATGTCAAGGAATCCTCATTAAGATTATCCAGTGATTTCTCAGCAGAAACTCTGAAAGCCAGAGACAGTAGGATAACATATTAAAATGCTAAAAGAATAAAAGTGTCAACCAAGAATTCCATATCTGGCAAACTGTCCTTCAAAAATGAGAGAAAATTTAAGAATTAAGACATTTTCAGATAAACAAAAGCTGAGGCCCTCAGTACCAACAAGCCCACTCCACAGAAAAATGCTAAAGGAAGCCCTTCAGGTTAAAAGGAAAGAACACTAGACAGTATCACAAAGCTACATTAGGAAATAAATATCTAGTAAAGATGACTACATGGGCAAATATAAAAACCAGGATTTGAGTATTTTGGTTTCTAATTCCACTTTTTATTTCCTACATAATTTAAAAAGCAAATAAAGCCCAGGTTTCAACTTGTGAATTCCACCACACATTTAAGGAAGATATTAATATACCAGTTCTCTGCAATCTTTTCCAGAAGGCAGATGCAGAAAGAAAACTTTCTAACTCATTCTGTGAGTCCAGCATCACTCTGATACCAAAACCAGACAAAGACATCGCAAGAAAACTGCATCTCAATATTGCTCATAAGCTTATATGAAAAAATCCTCAACAAAATATTAGCAGATCAAATCCAACAATGCATAAAAAGAATTATACAACAAAACCAGGCGGGATTTATCTCAGGTATGTGAGTTTAGTTCAACAGTCAAAAATCAATTGATGTAATCTATCAACAGGCTGAAGAAGAAAAACCACATGATCATATGAATACAAAAAAAGCATGTAACAAAATCCAAAACATATTCATGACAAAAACACTCAACTAAGTATAGAGGGGAACTTCTTCAACTTTATAAAGAACATCTACGAAAAACCGAAAAACCTACAACTAACAACACACTTACTTGTAAGAAACTACAAGTTTTCTAGCTAAGATCAAATGTCCCCTCACCACTATCTTTCAATATCATACTGGAAGTCCTGGCTAATGCAAGAAGACAAGAATATAAAAGGTGTACACATTGAGAAGGAAGAAATCAACCTCTTTGTTCACAAATGACAAAAGTGTCCATACAGAAAATCTGAAAGAAGTAACCGAAAAATAACTGCTCGAACTAATAAGTAACATAGCAAGGTTGCAAGATAAAAGGCTAATATACAAAAATCAATTACTTTCCTATATACTGGCAATA